GTAGATAGATAAAAACAGCCTAAACTGGCACTTTAGCGAGCGCCTTGTTGTGAATAAAAGTTCCTCGCGATAGTTATTATCTAGAGACAAAACCTGCTAAGAACAAACGCCATGCACCTCGCGGCATTGAAAAAAAAATCTGTCAAATAAAAAAAGACAAACCACTCTCGAAGAATATTTGACATTTGATGCGTAGCTGGTAGTTTCTTTTATATTGCATACTAATATGGTAATTTTCTGTCTGATCAATAAAATAATTTACTATATCGTAACACAAAATGACCTGCTTTAACAAAACTTTAATGGAATTGAGTAGGACTTCCTTATAAAGAGGAAACCTGGATATTAATATAACAAAAACCTGCAAAAAAAAAAGGTCAGAACGGACCATTTCATTATATCCAGGTTCACTGTGTATGATTATTTTATAATAATAATGTAAACTTTGAACGCTAACAACGTTTTCGAAAATTAAACTTATTAGACTTAATGTTATTGGCTGTAGAAAATAAAATAATGTGAACAAGATAGTAATAATAGATTTCAAAGATTAAAAGCAAGAGTGAACACGTGGGATAAGATATTTGGAATGTCAGGCAAAAGCTGGAATAAATGAAAATGCATGCAATTTTGATACCTATAGTAATAGTAATAGTGTAATAGAGGGTGTATGATGAGAGGTCATGAATTTTACAAGAGGATAATGAATGAATTTCATTCCATGTAACAGTAAGTGCTCTAATATGAGAAGAAAGAGAATAGGGTAGAATTAGTGAAGAAGGGGGGTATAGTAATAGGATAAGAAGAACGGAGAAAAGTTGAGAGAGAGATTTAATTACTTAATATTAAGGAAAGAATATATTAGAGATAAGTTCCATGATGATTAATATTAAAGGTGCAGGATGGAAGGGATTGTGAGAATCTAGTGAATGTGAGCGGATTAAGATATTTGGTCCATTTCCTTTCCCTTAATATTAAGTGTTTTAATGTAATAGTAATATGTGACAGTCTGGAGTGGAATGTTTGTGTTTTATGAATCTCTTTGAGAGATTATACTAATCTAAATAAAAATGGTGAATGAATAAAGTTAAAAAGCTTATCCTGAATTGGCAAGAAAGAAGCCCGAGGAACGCCTTGTTCCAGAATGTAGAATGACTTCATAATGAGGTTTTTATTTTGTAATTTGTAAAGGCATTTTAATGATAATTTATGAAGTATTTTAATAACAGGCGAAATATGCTAAACAGCATTAAGCATGCTAAGAGATCATGTATTTACAATCGATTTTTTTGTTTATGTGGTATCTGTTACTACATGACATTTTATTACGAATATATAGGGGCGTTTTCTCTTCCCATATTGTATAAATTTAAGAATGCCGTGGATTTGGCATGAGCCACAGCCATGCCACTCTCAAGTCAAAAAGTCATTAACACTTTTACTATCTTCAGCCACACCAGCCCTTTGAGCGGCGAAATGTCTCCCGAGACACCACCCGCGCAGCCACGCCACAAGGAGAAACAAAAAAACGAATGCAAAAACTGCTCGCTAGCATTTGGTCTTGGAATGGCCCGCGAGTCATTATTCTTTCGCTTTGGAGTTTTTTTTATAATAAGCAAGAGGGTACGATGATCCCGCTTCAGGTGATCAGATGTTCACTTTATCTGGTTTTGTTGCACCATGCGAGATCCCATATCCATATGCAACATGCAAACGCTGCACGCCGCATTCCTAAATCGTTTTATTCTGGCTGATAAGTCTGTTTATTATTATATCCAATGATATTAATATATCAACAGAGATTATGCATTGCGCATGCATAATACTTGTCACGGCTGATACTTAAATAGTATTGCCTAGTACATTAAACGGTAATCAACAAAGAACGCAAAACTCCAAGTACATTAAACGAACCGATTACTGTAAAATAAAAAGAGTTTATTTATACATGCTAGCATCGCCAATGATCAAAGTGGGAACTCTGAGGACAACAATCTCCACCAGTTGTCTACGATTAACATAATTGCAGCATTTTGCTTCCTACACAATAGTGCGCAGTAAAGTTGTTTATCAATACTACTTTAGCCTATCGCTTTGTTAAATCAGGGTCTTGATGACTGGCTTTTAACTCGTCCTCTTTTTGTTTTCATCGATAACCGCTGCTGTAAAGCAACTAATCGTAGTCAAAAAATAAAAAATCAACTGCTCTTTTCAATATTTTTTAGTAATCGTAAATCAGTTTAATTTGATTATTTTCTTTGTTTTTCTATTATTCTTTCTTTCCATATCCCAGTATAAGTCAAGAAATTGTTTATCGCAGACCGCCGACGTACGGCAATCTAATACAATGGAAATGCAGTCGTTGTCTTGGCTCTCACTGTTAGATTGGAATGTAACATCAAAATTGCAAGCCGGGATTTTTGCGATAACGTCAACCAAAATAATACTAACTATATGTATGAAAAGAAAAACAATTAACTCGTTCATGACAGTCATTGTGGATAAGACAACGATTTGATTCCAACGACGACTTGCTGAAATTTGCTCGAGGCGCTGCGTTTGATTATTTCGATGACATGCTTTATGGTGACTACTTTATCGGTATGATGAAGCAAATTTGAAGAAGCGAATAAGTAATTGTGTAAAGCTATAAAGAATATATAAAATTATAACCTGCATCTAATTTTAGACTATTGTTGACATGTATGCATCGTTCGACATAAACTGCACTATCAGCTATTTAATAGAGATCATTTTTGTTCAACATTATTCTCTCATTTTAACCAGAGGTCATCTCCGTATTTGCACAAACGAAGTCTTACAATGCAACCGGCTAAAGAAATGATGTCGGTTTCGTTTTGAAAAACAAATTTGTTTTATCTTTTTAGAATTAAGAAGTTTGTAGAAGTTTGTTGTTTTTTTTTATTTTAAAAAGGCGATATTTACTGTTTGATCTTTTTTTTTTTTTGCATTATCTTTATCACATTTTTATAAAGAGAATTTAGAGAACTCGTTAACTTTGGCCAAATTTAATCTTCCTGACGGTTAATTCTAAACAAATTTATTGCAAGTGAAATACGTTGATATGATGTTTATGTTACAAAATTCCCGTAAACAAGCTTGCTGAAGAAGTTCGACTTATCCAAAGATAGCAATATAATGATGTTTGAGCAAAAGACACGTTTTGCTCTTTTGCGTTTGAATGATAGTCAACCCACGTTTACGAGTGTAGATGGCATTAATATGAAGAAATTTCACGGAAAGCCTTATTATTATAATATCGGTCAATTTTATTACGAGTATAACCAAAAAAATAGGAGACTTGAATGATTTTCCAAGACATGTATTTTGTCCGAGCGTAGAGACTTCATATGGGAACCAACCAAAAAGGCAGCTTGCCGCTGGTTTGCTCTAATAATAAAGCAATAAAACGCTGATAAGCACCAATCGGCGAATGGTGAATAATAGCGGGGGTTTGTAATTTTTGCTCATTTTGTATTGTTGTTGTTGTTGTTGTTGTTGTTGTTGTTGTTGTTGTTGTTGTTGAGTTAATTAATTAGAGACAGATACAATTTGATGGTAACATACAACTTTGGGCTGCATTGGTTGATATACGACATACTCGAAGACTGAAAGTCAATGGATTATTCTGAACCATATTTTCATGAAATCCTCTACTAATATTATTTCTTTCTATTATACAAATTTCTTTCAGAACCGAATTCAGGTAACCTCTTACTAATGAGCAAATCTATCATATTATCATACAACCAGCGGTATAATATGTATAAAAGATTGCTTAGGTAAACACTTACTAACACCTATTACAGAATCATCTGTTTACTGATAACGATAATCAATTTTTAATCTATCAGTACAGTATGCCGTATCAACAAACCTGTGTACAACTAAATATTCGAGGCGTTAAGGATTTACGAATGCATTTCCTATGTACTGGTTTATCTCTCCATTGTTACAATCCTGATAGATCATATTAATATCGTTAGCCCGTGTGAATGATCAACTACGCGTTATCCAAATGTGGGAGACAAATTCGGGTTTTTGATCATCCAAATGAAGAAGACATCTCTACTCGAAAGTCTCCGTAGCCATTATATATAACAGTGCACCATTGAATTGCGCGAATCATTCAGCTTGCAATAGGATGTCGGTGACTGATATGGTGAAGCTTTACGAGCGATTGCTCGAGGACATTGGCAGTCTATTCCGGGATAGACTGTTCACAGATGTTGACATCATCCTTCCCGATGAGGAACACATTCGAGCACACAAGTAAAAAAAAAATAATGTATTCTGTACATAATCAATGCCCTATGTACTAACGAATAACTTTGATGTACCACAATAATCGATCAGATGTATCCTTGCCGCTCGCTCACCACTGTTTAGAGAATATTTTGAACCAAAAAGTCCTGGTAAAACTACGGATGATGTAACGGATGCATCAAATGATGAAGTTACGAATGAGGCTACGAACGAAGTTCCGAATAGCAATACTGCCGTAGACAGTCCATCCGTAATTTCCGTCGATTCAATATCACTAGACTCAATTGAGGATGTTGTCGATATGGAGAATATTTCAACAGGTGCGAATATTGGTAATAATTTTTTCTGTAGAACAAAGACTGGTGAAGTCTAAATAAATCTAACAATTTTCTCTATTAGATACTGAACAATGTAACGTCCAAATTGTTCGCCTCACAACCCTCATCAACTTCACCTCTGACTATGCCTATGTAACTCCTCAGGCTCTCTCAAAGGCCTTCAAACCGATCATTTATTATTTCTACAAAGGCACTCTTACATGGAATGCTATTATTGCGTCACCGTCTAATTTTTGTGCGTTTGTCTACCTTGCGTACTTCTTGAAGCTCACCGCCCTCACGGATTTAGCAACAAACAAGATAAAATCAATCCTTTCGCCAAGTAATATAGTACCTTTTCTCAACCATTTTTGCTCATTTCGCAAGACATCGAAATGGCCATGGTATGATAATCTAGCTCAAACGTGCTTCGAGTACTTACATTCGCAAGATGGACTAAGTGAGAAGAATTTTCATGTATTCAAAATGGAAACGATGTCATTGGAGACAGTGGAATATTGCCTAAGATCAGAAGTAGGAATAAATGGTAATCTACCGGTGAAAAGACATCGAATTGCGGGTCAGACTACTGCTGAAGCAAAAGTGGTGAAATTCTTAGGAAAGTGGATTTCTACCCAAAGAGATAATATTGAGTTCGGAAATATGTTCGACTGGATTGATTTGTCTTACTGTGGACCAAGGGCTTTAATCGAGGAGGTACATGCACGTCAAGAAGAATTACATTGAAAGCTCTTGCAATGTATTTTAGATCTTATGTTAACTCATTCAATATATAGGTCAAGCCAATGGGTTTATTCTCGCCACAGAAGATATACGACGCAATGGAAGCAATACTTACAGATCAAATCAGTGAAGATGAACAGGTTAGCGTTAGAGGTATTCGAAATGAAAATAGAAGGCTTTCATCGAGTCTCGAATTCTTTGGAGTGTATTCTAAGCGTCATACCTGAGGCGTTCTTACTTTTATAATGAATAAGAGTTGTGATTTGCAGCATGTTCCAAGAATACACATACGAATAAACCATTAGCATGAATAGTGAAGAAATAATCCCAAACTTTCATTAAGCTAATGTTATATCCGAACTTTCTATTCCAATATCTTATAGTAGCAATATCAGGCGCTAGTTAGAATGTTTACGAGCGTCCTACTGCCATAATGTAATGCTAATGTTACACCATGTAATTTTTCATGAGAGGTATAAATGAAGGAAGAAACAAGTTGGTTTTAAAATTATTGTAATTTTCGAAATAAAGTCAGGCGGCAAGAACTTTCTGAATTACCACGTACGATGATTAAATAGCATATTATACTAATACGAGCTTTTAACCGAAATGATGATGTGATTTTAATGGACTTCTACGGGCGAAACGTTCAATGGGCGTGTACAACTTGGTAACGTTTTTTTAATTTCTTCGCTGTTTCATTTCCCAAACGGGGAAGAAGCTATTCGGTGCGATAAGTGTTAAACCAGGGCCGTTAATACGATGAATGATAATCTTGACTACCGGAAGTGGTCAATATTTCTTGAGAACTCATCCTTGCAACTTAAGCGGCTGAGAATTTAAATCTATACTGAGAGACAAATTAGCCCAAAGTATATCTGAAAACGTTGTACGTTCACATGTCGACGGAGACAATTTCACAAACCGGTCCGGTTGTCATCGAGAAAAAAATTCTAGAAACAATCAATTGTTTGCGTCGTTGTCGACACGTCGATACTGGGATGTCTATTAACTGATTAAGTACGCTGACTGTCTCGAACTTTTTTGGCGGTATTAATTACAATGATCTTTAGGTCATGATACTGCTCATGCGTAAGAACAGGTTTCGCAATATTTGATGCTCGATCCATGTTAACTTGGAGCTTGGCGTTTTTATTAGTCAGACCTGTGACTTGACATTCTTTTCAAGATTTAAGATTTGAAAGTTAATAAAGTCCTCCGAACGTGCCTCTTTCTTGCGTAATTCTTTGATCTGGAAAAAAATGCTTGTCCATAATTCGGGGACATTTTTTCTATCTTTATTATGAATTTAGTGTGTTGTCCAAATCTCTATATAGTCATACACAACATTTGAAAAAGTTGTTTCCTTACCCGCATGACAAGTTCTCTTTAAGGAACCTTACGCTCTTTCGAATTTTTAGTTTGGCGTTAAGTTTAGGTCATTACAATCCAACGTAACATTACAACCCCTTCTTCAATGATGGAATCTAGCTAGCATTTATTTAGGAGATAAAGCACGATTTTGAACCCTGTCAACCTTGCGTAATTATGTCGAGGGACGCGGGCTTTATGTTACACGGTTGCTAGAGGTTAATATTCTCGCAATTAAACTTTGGATCGATACTGTGGCATGCGGACAACATGATAGATAATAAAATATACATTTTTGCTACTATAAAGAAGAAAACATTCTCTTATCATATGGTGCAAGGACATTACATAGATTTACTGATGTGTAAGCAATAAAACGAAAGAACATCTATTTAACTGGTTATATTTTTAGTCAATGCATACTGATATTCGTTACAATACTCTATATTATCAATCCATGCTATTTACAAAGCTGATTATATGCTCTCCTTGGAAAAGCACGCTGACGTCGGAAGTTTATGGTGATTCCCATTTCATAATAATAATAATAATAATATGTGTTACCTACTATTTATTGTTAGTCGAAATTATTTTGTGCAAAGTTATTTCTTCACCCCTTTAGAGTCTGATTTTCAAATAGTAAACTCAACCAACGCCTACTCAGAAAAAAGACATCATGGTATATGATATATGATAATGATGATTCTTACCATTGCAATTACTTTCCGTACCGCTATCACTTTACATAATATAATGTCTTTTGATAATCAAAATACTATTTATTCGTATTAGTCACAGCAGGGCTCATCAAAACAAACGGATCCTGAGGAATTATACGTAAAGCAGGACATGATAGGTATGTCTTATTGCTTCAACGAACATTGTACTGACAGAATATCGTAGTATCATCTCACTCCAATCAAACCTGATAAAATAAACGAAACACCAGTGCAGTGGGGACATGATATGTGATCTAATATTTGCATTACCGATCTATGTTCTTCATAGGCAAGGGATCTTTTGGTGCAGTGTATAAAGGGTAAGAGGTTGCATATTATTCAAAGGTGATCGAAAAGGTTATCGAAAATATTCAATGTCAAATATTTCGTGTTAGCTTTTTATGTTAGTACTATTATTTGTAACATCTGTTATTATATAATTTTCGCAAACTTGCATTTCAAATGGCGGATCCCATTCACCCAATGAACGAATTTAGTCCTTCATATAGTATTAATCTGTATAAATTTGCATCCTCCCATTTTCTTCTTCCTTTCTTTGGTTTGATCTGATAATATTCTAGGTTCGATAAGAGCTCGAAAATGCCTGTAGCCATTAAGATTATTGATCTTGAAGCGGCAGAAGATGAAATAGAAGATATTCAACAGGAGATTGCTATACTATCCCAATTGGACTCACCATATTTCACAAGGTAATTAATGCTGGTGGGGGAAATATTATAGTTCTCTTCATCTAAGATATCTGATGGCATTATCGTATCTTCGGAAGATACTATGGAGCCTATCTCAAAGATACTCATCTATGGATTGTCATGGAATATTGTTCCGGTGGTTCTTGTTCCGATTTGGTAAGTATTACATTTGTGGCATAGCATTCTATTACACAGCTCTATATCCATCTACGGGGAAGTTAGAAAGAATAAGTAAACATTACTGGTAATTAGATTATTGGCTACTCATGAGTTTTGCGAGACCTTTAATATATATGAGCTGCTTATTTAACAGGTGAAGCCTGGCGCCTTTAAAGAAGAATATATAGCCATCATATTAAGAGAATTGCTCAAAGGACTTGAGCATCTTCATAATGAAAATAAACTACACAGAGGTCGGTTTATTTTGTATATATACATTAACATTCCTGCATTTGATGTTTTACGTTCTAACTGTCAAGTTATTGTTATCATCGTCAATCATAGACATTAAAGGTTGGCAATGATAAATACGCTAATTTGGAAATTTGTAAGATAGCAACCATCCAGTCAAGAACGTTGAGCTGACAAGAATGGATTGTTTACAGCGGCGAATATTCTCCTATGTGCAACAGGCGAAGGTAAACGATTTCTAATATGACTAGGCAACGATAAAGACCCATGTTGACTATTAATTTCTTTCACGTGATCTTAATAACAGTGAAACTGGCCGACTTCGGGGTATCAGGACAAGTGCGTATGACTTTTATAATGTGACACATATATAGTATTTTATAAACAGAAATTAGAATTGTCCTTATCAATGTTTGTCTATACACGCTGTCATCAATTATATAGATCACTGCGACGATGAACAAGAAGAATACGTTCGTTGGCACGCCTGTAAGTCTACTCATCTGTATGCATCCGAATTCACGTGAGACTAACGCTCTTGCTATGCTTACAGTTCTGGATGGCCCCGGAAGTCATCAAGCAATCCGGATATGATTTCAAGGTATCTTGTAATTACGTCATGCATATTTCACATTTCATATCCGAGGTCGTGTTTACTGATTCATGTGATCTTAGGCTGATATCTGGTCACTGGGTATAACTGCCATTGAATTAGCCAAAGGAGAACCGCCACATGCCGATTTGCATCCAATGAAAGTACTCTTCCTAATCCCTAAGAATCCTCCTCCCACTTTGGATGGAAACTTCTCTAAACCATTTCGAGAATTCGTTTCAGCTTGTTTACAAAAAGATCCTAATCTTGTAAAGTATCTAACTAAACGCATATCTGAGGATTTACGCTTATGCAGCTGATTCTAACTATGAAACTGTGAACAGAGACCAACTGCGAAAGATCTGTTGAAATACAAATTCATTAAAGGTGCAAAGAAGACGTCCTATCTCACAGAGCTAATTGAGAGGCACGAAAAATGGGTAGCTGATGGTTATGATAAACAGGATTACGAGGAGGAAAACTCTAATGAAAACGGGTATTTATCATAATCTCAAATATAAAATACTTATTTTCATATTGAATTTTAATCATTGGTTTTCTTTTCTTTTCTTTTCTTTCATAGAAAACCAGAGGAATGTGACTATGGACCTTGGGACTTCCGTACTATGAAAAAACAAGTTTCCTCTCCAACATCTAGTGACGATGAAACTGAGTACTTCGAGGATGGCACTATCGGTCCTGCAGCTGGGAAACAAAGACTTGGAGTTAATTCGACTTCATTGGTGGGTTCCTTCTTTTTCTTCTTCTATTGTTATTTTTGATACATGAACGACTAACCTCATTTAATGTCAGTCATCTAATGCCTATGAACAGTCACCGAGTACAATTGGTGCAAAATGTGGTACAATCAAACAGATGGGCTTTTCCGAAGAAGTTGATGATTATGATTATTACTCTGACGATGCTTCTCGGACTATAACAGGTCCTGAAGTGTTTGAAAAGGTTATGCTGCCATCTATTGAGAAGGTACGTGTCCATAAACTATCGCAGATGATTGCTATTAGCTATTATTGTGATATATAATATTTTGTATCATATTATTAGCTTCGTCGTCTTGCACCATCCGCACGAGCACGATATACGATCGATAATTTAGCAAAAGCATTGGGGGATGCTGAAATAGAAAATCCAGGGATATCAGAAAAGTTTATTCATACTGTTCTACAGACGTATGATGAACTGATAGCAGCTGAGAATAAATAAGACGATGGTATGATTCGAACTGTGAATAGATGTTATCTACTCAGGCTTAATAATGCCTCTAATCTTGCTGATGGAATGAGACGTTTTGTATAAACATTTTCGTTTTGTCTTAGTTCATCAATATTAACCACCTTATCCGGCAGAGAAAACGCAGGTGAAATGAACTAATCCTTTTCCTAGTCATCTATTTCGATCTTTATCTGCACGATATCGACCTAATGAAAGTTCCTGAACGCAAATGTGTACACGATTCTGTATTGTTATTTGACTTTTTTGATAACCAGAAAATGAAAAAGAATGTTATCTCAATCTTAAACTTTATAGAATAAAACGTGCCAGACAGGTTGAAGATATACATACTGTATAATCAAATTGAAAAGCAAACACAGGATGTTCGTATAGGCTATGCCTTGAAATTGAAATAAACAGAGTGAAGTCATATCGTATCCCATACAGTTTCAAGTACTCATACATGCGAAACGAACTACTTACAATTTGATTGTAATAGGGTATACTGAAAATGAAACACATAAGCCTCATACACGTCCTAGTTTCATTGTAGAATTACGATTAAGGAAAACGCAATTTGAATACTGATAATCGTGTTTTGTGGGGAACAAAGAGTAGACTCTATTAATACTAATATTAATATTAACCTATAACGAATAATTATACTTTTAACACGTGACTTTCAGACTTGCCATTGTTAATTCAATGGAACGCGGTTAGTATTATTAGGATTAGTAACTTTCCAATACAAATGAGCGACAAACTCGGGCTTGCTGAATTACATAAACAAGAAGCCATACTGTAATGACGTTGTGACTTGGGCGTTGGGGACATAGAGTAGTGTGTACATGGGGTACGGTGTGTTGGGGACATAGACATAGAGTAGTGTGCGCATAGGGCAGAGTAACATAGTAATCGGGGTAAACATTACTATGAGAAATTTACACAATTTCATAACGTCTTGTTTGCCTTTATAAGTTCATCAATTCCTAACCTTTTTTGGTTCATCCAAAATTATTTTTCTAGGGAATTCAGATGAGTGTCACCTAAAATACCGTATTTCTTTGACTAAAGTACCCCCCGAGCAGCAATTTTGAGGCCTGATTTTGTAAAAGACCCGGGTACTATTGTCGGAAAAATCAATATTATCGCGTAAAATACC